AAGACTGCAAGAGAAAACATTCAATGAACCCGGAACACTGGGGCATGCACAGCTCCCCCTAGGGTAAAAGGTAAAGGTTCTCTTGCTCGAAAGCCAGTCAAATCTGACTCTAGGGTTGCGGTGCTCATCTCCGTTTCAAAGCCGAAGAGCCAGCGCTGTCCGAAAACGTTTCCGTGGTCATGTGGCCAGGATGACTAAACACCAAGGCGCACGGAACGCTGTTCCCTTCCCACCGAAGAGGTACCTATTTATCTACTTGCAATTTCTTGCTTTCAAACTGCTAGGTTGACAGGAGCTGTAACTAGAGATGGGAGCTCACTCTGTCATGCGGCACCCGGGTCTCGAACTGCTGAACTACAGACCTTCCACAGCCTGCAGTTCAGCGTCTTAACCACTTGAGCCACCGCAGCCCCTAGGGTACATGTGGACTAAATGGCTCTTTCGGCAGTATTCTACATTAACTAGACTTTTAGCAGGCTGTCGCTTCTCCAAAAGGGTGTGACTGGCCTGTCATCCAGTGAGTTTCAAAGGAAGAATGGGGATTCGAACCAGGGTCTCCTAGATGCTAGTCTGAAATTCTAACCACGGCACCCTGTTGGCTGGAAAGACCTGCTACAAAGTATAGCCCAGTTTGATCGTTCCTCAGTTGAGTGATCTGCCTGCCGGGGATACATCATGACTAGAAACGTCCTCCACAGCAAGTCGCAGCCCTATGATGTTGAGTCAATTAAAAACATGAATACCGCAGCACAGACTCTTCTAAGGCATACCTTGCCACAAAGGAAAGGGGGGGTTGCCTTTTCTGCTAGTTATGGCACCTCTGCATTTGAATTGTTATTTTTTTAAAAGCTGAAAAGCAAACAAATAATATACATTGGAACCAAAGGTCGGAAGCTGCCCCCATATCAACAGCAGAATTTGTGTGAATAATGTGGAACAAACAGTGACTTGACTGGAATCTGGGTAAAAGCCCCCAAGAGTCACATGTGCACAGCTCACATGGCAATGGGACTTCCCACGAATGTCTACCAGCACAAACTCATGCAGAATTGCTCCTGTCAATGACTACTGGTTTCAAAGGACTTAGGCTTGAGTAACTATCCCTAAGATTACACTGTATACCTGCATGTACTAACAAATGGATTGTTCTTGAGGACTACTGTTGAACTGGTAGCATCCCTCTTCTCTGTCATTCACATTTAGTCCTTCTTGACTCAATCAGAATTGATTCTGGCTGTGTCTGACAGACTAAAGGAGAGCCCAGCTACTGTGGTCTAACTATGGTAGTCTCCAATCTTTCCAAAACTGGAAGCCACCTTTAACCCCAACATGGGACCTAGTGTTCATAGTTTAACACAGAAGTTCCCCTCTCTACTCACACTTAAGCCACTAAAATATTTATATTCTGACTTCCCCTTGTGGCTCAAGACGGCTTCCAATTCCAAATGAGAAATATAGTCAATACAGTAAAACCCCGTTAATCCCTTGCCAGGAAAATGACTGCAGCCCCCAATAAAAGTCCTAGCAAATAAAATGGCTCTTCAGTGCCCCCCTTGTGTGCCCAGGGAGAATATTCCACAAGGTGGAGCCCCTACTGAAAAGGAACAGGCTCCAGTAGATGCCAAGTATTCAACCTTAAGTGAGGAGGAAAACCAGCAGGTGACAAATGAAGGACTGTAACAGGTGGAGGAAAAGCTGGTCCTTCAGATATGTGAGTCCCACCAGGCTGTGAAGGTCGTTAGAGATTATAACAAAGCACCTTGAACTGAACTTAGGAACAAACTGGCTGCTAGTGGGGGGAGAGTTAGTAGATGAAATGTGTTCTCATCAGCTAGCCTCTGATAATAATCAGGCTGCCACTTTCTGAACTAGTTCCCTAGTTGCCTTCAAGGGCAACTCCATGTAGAACCTATTAGAGTACTCCAGCCATGAGGTTACAAAAGCCTGGTTTAGCACAGCTAGGTTGGCTGTCTTAAGAAAGAAGAGAGAACCAGACAGAAGGCATTTCTGCTCAGAGCACCAACCTGCCTTCCACACGCTGAGGCTGGGTCCATGAGCATCCCCAAGCTCTTAATGTGCTCTGCCAATGCCAGCTCCCAGCTCCATGCAGTCCAAAACCAGTGCATCCAATCTCCCTACAGCATCATCCTTCCCAAGCATCATTACCTTTGTCTTGCCTGGATTCAGCTTGTTCTGCATTAGTCACTGGAACACGGCTTCAAAGCACTGGTGCAGAGCTGAGATGGACAACTCTGAAGGCTTAGATAATGAGATGCAGAGCTGGGCTCTATCTATATATTTCTCTCCTTCTCAGTCTCTTAGGATATACCTGCACTGCAGACACAGGACTGGATCCAAATCATGGGACTGGAGCCAAATGTGCCCTTCCAGCAGTGAAAAGGTGTGTAGGTGCATAAGTATATGGAAGGGAGATCTTTCTAACAGATAATTCTTTGCGTCCACAGCAAATGCCAAATCCCAAATCTGGGATGGATGGCAAATCACTGCAGTACAACCAATGCTCACGCTAAGATGTGGAGTCATGTGAGCAAAAATCCTACTTTGTGAGCTACTGGCATTAAAGTTGTGAGTGAGCGATTTGGCTCCTGCATAGATTAGTTTGCTCTGGAGCCATCCTTCCTGAGCTAAGACAAAAATGTGTGAGCCAGAGGCTAAAAAAACGGTGAGCTAGCTCACACAAACTCAGTTTAGAGGGAACACTGAGTACAACTTGTGTTGGATCAGTACAAATTTGACGTGGGGGGATACAAACAAAGAAATGCTGCAATGCCACTGTTGCAACCCTTTAGGCTGGGCCTAAATCCGCCAGTCTAAGATCAATGCTCCAGTAGACAAAGTAGAGGAAACAGAGCCTCAGATTTAAGGGTTCTCAAATGTAAGTGCTCAGTTATTAATTATCTCTCTCTCTAGCTCCCTTTCTCATCTGTAAAAATCTGAGTAACATCCAGTGGACTTGGGATGCTGAATAATTTACTCGGACACAGACTGTGCACTGAAAAATGTTACAGTAATTAACAGTAAGCAGCAACCAATCTGGTTGGTGCCCAAGTTAACGAGTGTGGCCCTTTCAGCAGCAGACAAAAGGGCACTTTGGGCCTACTTGCAAAACCGTCCGAAAAAGAAAGATTTGTGGCGGAGCAAAAGAAGGCAACTGGGACCAAATCTACCACAAACAACCGGATCACTAGCCACTGTTTTATCACGGGCCTGTTGATCAGCATGGCCCAACAGCTCACCTATGGCTGCTGTAGGCAGAGAGGTCATGAGAACAAGAGTCTCAGGGTGAAATGCAATAAAATTGCTTGGCACTGTGGCCTTGGCTCTCCCACACAAAGGAACAAGGTGGCAGAGACCCAAGAGGGCGGGATGGACTGCACCACTCCAGACTTCAAGTGGGAATTCACCAGGGCTATTTTTGGGCAGGAACGCACAGGAACGGAGTTCCGGCTGGCTCCTGAGTTGGCCACACCCAGCAGGAACTCATTAGCATAATAGGCCACACCCAACAGCAGAAACTCATTAGGACTGGCTACAGTAGGCGTGTGTGGCCTAACATGCAAAGGAGTCCCTGCTACAAAAAAAGGCCCTGGGTTTTGACAACAAACAAGGTAAACAGAATAAGAAGCAAAAGGTGGGTGTGGCTGGATGACCACACTTCTGGCAACACGGGGCTGTGGCCTAATATGCTAATGAGCGGTGGTGTCAGGGTGTGGCCTGATATGCTAATGAGTTTCAGCCATTGGGCGTGGCCTATTATGCTAATTAGTTCCTGCTGGGCTTTTTCTACAAAAAAAGCCCTGGAATTCACATATCACTGTACGGCTGCTGCAGGAGGGCAGTGATGCTTGCCTATGAAAGGAGGAGGAGAGGCAATGTGGATAAATCATTTCAAGAGTATCAAGAAACTCACATTATCGAAGGAACCCAGAAAAGGAGAGAAAAGGTATCCTTAGATAAAACAACAGAAAATGTGGCTTACCGATGGCGCGCGCCAACGCGATGACAATCTCCTGGCACGTGGTCTCACCTGAGACACCACAGACGACCCGCTGAATTCCATCCACCCAGACCTTCAGCTCCATCACAAAAGGAAGCAACTTACCCTCCCTCTTCTCCTGCCTCCTCTTGGCTGAATGAGGGCCGGAAGCGGGGCAGCTGGAAGCAGGGGGCATGGCTTCGTCATGTGCCCCACCCCCCACATCTCACCCCGGGGAACTGCATTCCCCCGCGATCCGCCCCGTGTTGACCTCTGACCACACTTCTGGCAACACGGGGCTGTGGCCTAATATGCTAATGAGCTGTGGTGTCAGGGTGTGGCCTGATATGCTAATGAGTTTCAGCCATTGGGCGTGGCCTATTATGCTAATTAGTTCCTGCTGTGCTTTTTCTACAAAAAAAGCCCTGGAATTCACATTTAGGAATCTAGGTTAAAAACTGTAGAAACAACAACCAAGAAAGGGGGAAGGGGGAGAACTTTGTTGCCGCTGTGCTAGTTTTCTCCATGGAGGGTTTAAAAAATAACATTAAAGGAACATTCAACCTCCGAATATGGAGTCTGAAGCCAGGTGGTCCATTTGACCACCTCCTTCCCCTTCATGTGTGAAGTGGGCATGAGTAGACTATTGGGCCATCTAGATCCGTGCCATTCTGACTCGCAGCAGTCCTGTCTGATCTCAGGCAAAGATCCTTCCCCAGCGCAAGCTCTTTAATTGGAGATGCTGGTCTTTCTGCATGGAAAACGTATGCTCTGCTACAGAGCTCTGGCCTCGCCCCTTCCAGATTTTAGCTGAGCACCCTAAACGTGTGGCCAGAGCATTTGCTAATGAACAGACCATTGTATGAAATTCCTCTGAATGGATCTCTACGGCAAGGGATTTCTGCTTTCAAGGCAAAGCACACAGCGCACGCACACATACAAATGCACACACCGTCAGTTTTAAGACAAACCGGAATACCCACAGTTTTCTGATATAACCCACCGGGATTTAGGAAGACAGGCTCTGGGTCTCCTTTGTTTCCGTAATAGTAAATTACATCTCCCTTGGTGGTGCTAAAAGATAAAAATAGAAAGAGAGTTCTCCTTGCAAAATGGCAACTCAGATCTTTGATTAAGTTCTAATTTCATGCAACCCTCAACACAGCAAGACATTTTTGCAGTTCAGAGATACTTAGCTTCCTTCACTTAAAAAACAAAAAAGTCAGATTAAATACTTGTGCTAGAGTCACTGCTTAAAGAGCTGCTTTAAAAAGAGGAGGGAAAGCACACAGAAAAGTATTCTTATCAGTCTTATACCGACTACAAAATGTATTAGATCATATATCTTGTTAGCAATGCACAGGCTTTCAACAGACTTGTAATTACCCAGTGTACATTTGGTTCCCATCCACCTCCCACTGATTATTTCACCATTTGGTCCCAATACTGGATGGTCACCAGAGGGAGCTCCAGCGGCATCCGATCCACAGCATTGTACCCAGTGCTGACCCCACTCCATCCCGTTGGCGCTGCAGAGTCAACAATGCTGTGGTTTTACTGTTTCACATCAGTTCCTTTTGGCGTAAAGCCCCCTGGTATGTGACAAAAGCACATTCCGATCTAGACATCAGGCAGCTGGGTTTGCTCCACCACTCTGTCTCCGTTTTTTCTGCCTCCACATCTCTGCTGCTTATTTTATTCTCCAATGGCTGTGCAACTGTACATACAAAACCCTTTTTAATACAATAATGCCCCCGAATCCCAAAATACAAACCAAAGCATGCAAATTAAGGCCCCAGTATATAATACATAAATTCAGCTTATACGTAAAGATGGGTAGCTGACCGTGTTAGTCTGTCTGTAGCAGTAGAAAAGATCAAGAGTCCAATAGCACCTTAAAGACTAACAACATTAGTGGCAGGGTATGAGCTTTCGTGAATCACTGCTCACTTCTGCAGATATCGGAAGAAAATCCAGATATTTAAATATTCAGATATTTAAATTAAATACATCTTTAATTAAAAAAAATAATCATAACAACTTGTTTTACTGCCTTAGAATACATCATACAAAAGCACTATATTAATGTATGTGTGTACACCCTTTCAAAGAGTGAACTGTAAGCCACTCCGTTTGTCTGTGCGAAATCACCACCACGTATCCTTTCTGTGCACACAGACGTACGAACACATCAGGCTGAATGCTCCCATAATTCACACTTTAGCCCTGCATAACCAGAAGACACAGAGGTAAGCAGAGATGAGCAGGAGGTGGGTAAAAAGGGACAAAACCTGACTTGAGGAATCAGCCATGCTTTGGTAACCCAGAATCAACTGCTAATGCTAAGAAGTTCATGTATGAAAAAGCTCAGAAACCTATCTTCTGATAAGCATGCTGTATCTGAGCAATATTATGAACCAGTTTTGTAACCCTTAAGCTGCTAGGTTCACAGCTGGTAAACAGGGGGGAGCCCACAGAGAAAACCCTGCAGAAAGGAATGGCTGATCCATCGTGTGCAACCTGATGAAAGCGGTGAAGTTAACAACTCTGAGAAGACCACTGTATAAGTCACTGTCCTCCTAAACTGCAGTGCAATCCTAAGCAGAGGTACACCCTTCTAAGCTCATGGACTTCAGTGAACTTATAAGGGTATAACTCCATTTAGGACTGCACTGCCGGTGACTTCTAGTGTGGGATTATGATCTTAATGGACTAATTTGATCTAATTGTACAAATTATGAATATGCTGGAGGCATTGTGTACAAGGTATATCTCAGATTCTATCCCTTGAAAGTACAGCAAAATAATACCATCTCTGGTATTTATATATTTACTTTTATGTTGCCACTCCAGACTTCTGCTTCAGGTGGTTTACAATTAAAGTAATAATCAGTATAAAACCAGCTATTAAAGCAAGCCCAGGGACATAAAAACAGCATAAAACTCTCCATAAAATGATACAACTAACCTCAGGCCACAAGGAGACCACAGATCAGGTGGAAAGATAAAACCCCTGATTTAGTGGCAATTTACATATGTTATGGGAAAGGTCTGCGATCGCTTAGACAAGACCTGCTTTACATGCAGAAGGTCCTGGGTTCATTCCCCAGCATCTCCAGTTCATTCAGAGGTGCCCAGTTAGCTTTGAAGGGTAAGTTACCTATAGATATGTGTAATGAAAATAAAAGGGGGTGATGAAGAAGATTTAAGAACTGAGCAGTAGGTTGGAGCACTGTGGGAAGCCGCACGGGGGGGGGAGGAGGGGGGGAGGAGGGCAGGATGTATTGGTATAAAAGTTTATGATCTATATTTGACTATGTTTATTATATCCTAATAAAATGGGTTTTTTTTTAAAAAATAAAAGGTGCCCAGTTAGCAGATCCCAGTTAGCCCATGCTGTGCCTGAGATTCTGGAGAGTACTGCAGAGTAGACAACACTGAGGCAGATGGACCTATAACTGAGGCCCATCAAAGCAGCTTAATTTGTCCATGCATCCTCTAGTAACTTCCTGCCATATGCAGTGTTTCAGGGCAAGATTCTCAAGTTGCAGCAGTAGCAGGGGGCCTCCAGTGCCATCATTTCTGGCACCAACTGAAGGAAGTCGATTGCAATCAAGCTTCTTTCCAACGTAACCAGGAGCAGGGTGGGGGTAGCAGCATCACTGCTGGAAAGACATAGCCCTAGCTCTTAAGAGAGGAGCCACCTGAGGACCAAAGAAGCCGGTGCGTTTATGGGATTCAGTTCTCTGTCCAGATACGGAGAATCTCAAACAGATCTAGCAGCATGTCAGCACGGGTGAAAACGGGAAGAAAACTGGATGAGGCATCAATCCCGTGGACTGCAAACTGCCGTTAGATGGCTCACCCTCAACATCCTTGAATTCCCTTCCGTCAACATGGAAAAGCAATTCCTCAAGCGGCTCTCTGTCTATTGGACTGGATGCTGGTATGAGCTCATATCAAGCAGTATTTCACTCAAGTGATTCAGTTATTATTTACAGTGGGGAGGGGGAGGCATTTCTGCGGCCACTGACAAACAAAGCACATCTGCAGTCGAGATCTTAATTATACACAACTCTTCAAAGTGTGGCAGAGACGTCTCGTCTTGTCGATGGGGCTTCTCGTTCCCCCACCCCACTCATCTTCGGGATAAATAACAACTTGCAATAGAACTGAATTTCCCCCCAACACTAATAGCACAAAGCTTTTTACACAGTAGACGAACGACCATTTCCAACGTTTCGTTTTGTCAGAGAACGGAGGGAGATGCACCGATAGCTTGACGCAAACAAAAGCGAGCCAGATAAAATCTCATTAAGCTAAATGCGATGCATTGGGAGTTAAGCTGCCAGTGCATAAATTGGCATCTGGTACGTCAACCCTAACAAGCAAAATTGTTCTTTATTCGGCTATTTATAACCTATTCTATACATAGCAGCTAGGATGCGAGCTGAGATTTATGCTCTTCCCTTTCCTAGGCATTCTGAACTCTCCTAAAAAAACCCAAAAAACACCCTGCCTTCTTTGTAAATTATGCACAGCAGAAACAGCAGGGAGAGAGATTCAAAACCATTCAGTTATTTAAAACATTGGGAAGCCTTCCTTTCTCCCAGAGACTGGGACCCAAGGCAAGTAACAAGAATAAAACCCATCACCCCAGGAAGAAATTAAGCAATGGAACAAAGATAACAGACAAAGACTGGAACAGCCAAAGGACAACTAACGATGCCCTCTTGACTGACCAAGGCCCAACAAGAATCCAAACGATGTTTAAGCTCTTAGATCTTATCCAACGTTTTAAAAAATCTCAAAAGCCGCCAGAGCTCAGTTTTGTAGCCCCTTCAAAATGTCGTCAGGATAGAGGCCTTCCTCAGTTCTTACATAAAGCCTTTGTATTAAATGGACAGATACTGGAAACGCCTGTAATGGGCAGCAGCTTTTCACACCTTAACATATGTTCATATGAAGCTGTCTGATACTGAATCAGACCACTGGGCCATCAAGGTCAGTATTGTCCAATGTCTACTCAGACTGAGAGTAGCTCCCCAGGGTATTCGGTGGAGGTCTTTCTCATCATCTATAACCTGACCCCTTTTAACTGGAGATGCCAGATAGTCAACCTGAGACCTTTGGCATGCCAGCCAGATGCTCTACCACTGAGCCACAGCCTCTCCCCAAGGACTATAAAGGTGAGCATCAGCACTCTGAGATGGATACAAAATCATAAAGGTAATCACTTCAGTGATCGTAAAACAGAAGCAACTTGCTCCCTACACAGAGAGCCCTGGGTAATACACGGGCTGCCACATTCTGCCCCAGCTGTACTTTCCAAGTAGTCTTTCAGGGCAGCCCCAAGTAAGGTGCATTACAGTAGCTGAGCACTGACGTTACTACTGCATAGTCAGATCAGCAGTTTCTAAATAAGGGGAGAACTTTTAGGCTAAGGACGGCTGGAAAAATGCTTTCTGAGCCCCCATTGTTACCTGCTTTTCCATTACAGAATGCAATCTTGTAAAAAAAACCCTAGCTCGCCTTTTTCAGCCGATTGTCTTTTAGAACCTGACCACAGCAATCAGGACAGAGGCAAAAGCATACGGAGGCTTATTTAACAACAAGATGTATAGATGGGTGTTATCTGCATACTGATGACATCCAGCTCCAGTGCTTCAGATGATCTCATTAAGAGGCCCCATACAGATATTAAACAGCATGGGGGGAGAGCACCCTGTGGCAGTACCGGTAATGAAGCCCACATTGCTGATTGCTCATTCCCTATAACAGCCTTCAAACCAACTCGAGGCCATGCCTCCAGTTTCCACACTACATTCCAAACATCTCAACTGCGGTGAGTGATCAAAGGGGTCAAGGAGAACTAATAGAGAGGCATACCCTTTGTCCCCCTCTAAACAGAGACTGAACACCAGAGCTACCGAGGCCATCTCTGTCCCGAAACTAGGCTGGAAACCAGAGTGAGAAAGGTCAAAGGCATAAGCATGAGCCCAGGTACTGCTGCAGCTAATCAACCATGACCTTACCCAAGAACGGTAGGTGGCAGACAGGCCTGAAGTTGACCA